CATCGGACAGTAATCCGTTTACTACAATGTTGGATAATAACAAGACTACAATTTTGTAATATATCTTTCATCATCGGACAGTAATCCGTTTACTACAATGTTGGATAATAACAAGACTACAATTTTGTAATATATCTTTCATCATCGGACAGTAATCCGTTTACTACATTGTTGGATAATAACAAGACGAAAAAAAAAGGGGGGGGATGATTGTTCTAGTTATCTTAAACCGAGGTAGCTATTATTCCAATTCTTTAAAGCAAATTTCTGACATGTGCGTTTATCATCATTGAAAATTAAATATTTCTGATAGGTTAACCGTCAAATTACTGTTTTTATAGCATTTACTACCGGTTGGCTCCACCTGTTGAGTGATCTTATATATATATATAATTTTTTTCTTTATTACAAATACCTGACAAAAACGACTGAGTGAATTCACTTATTGTCTATGTAAAATACATAGGGGACCCTAGTAGCAACATTAATGGTGTTTTTGATTAAGTTTTTTGTTTCTTAGAAACCCCGTAACCCTCAACCAACTTGTTGCATAAATGTTTTATCAAAACATGTTGTTGTTTTTTAAATCGTTGGATCTCTATGGATTCCATCGGTAATGCTAAGGTTTTACATGTTCAGTTCCGGATCACTGTCGTGAAATCACTTTGAATCGGTTTCAGGACATATTTTATTCCGTTTGGTTTAGGTTTTGGTTTGTTTGTTATTAAACCATATGCATCACACAATTTGAAATAAAAAAAATACAGTGGTATTCAAATTATATTATTCAGACTAATAAAAAGTCCACTCTCCTTGTGGCACAGCGGAATGTCTGCTGACTTATATCGCTAGAAATCGGGTTTCGATACCCATGGTGGGCAGAGCCCCGATAGCCCATTGCGCAGCTTTGCGCTTAGTTACAAACAAGCTAACTAATAAAAAACTTTATAGCGTCATTACCTTTCTCAATGACACTTTTCAGTATAAAAGATTCCTAGAGAAATATTTGTAAAATATTACGACTGTTGGAATATTTAGTATTTTCCTATTTGTAGCAATATTTAAAACTTCAAATGGTTAAGTCTAAGCAACGCAAAGAGAGCAAATAATCAACAAGAGTGTGTATGTTTTAATGTGATTGAAAATTACTTAATTCGTGTATATATACATTTTCCTCATTAGATATAAAACAACAGCGTCTGTAAATATGTTTTCTGGGCAGCACAGATGGACTTGATTGGTCAGCTGCCAAAACGAAACAAAACCAGGATAAACGCCCTATTTCGAATACGTTTAAGTTTTATGCAAATAAAGAGAAACCAAAAAAAAGTAGTCAGATTTTCGTATTATTTAATAATTTTATTAATTAACAGAAAAAGGTTTCGCAGCTTATAAACCATTATTGCAATTATATAGTTAAAAGTCAGCTAGCCCTAATTCTAGGCTTAGCACAGATCTTGTTGTCCCATGATTGGTCAAGTGAGAGTTGAGTGATTACAGCTGGTATTGCCATATTTAAATTTTTGAATATTTAATTTTCAACTTTGTTTATCAGCATGCGAAGGTACTAAAGTTTTCCGTTATATATTTTACATGAACTTATAAAATTATTTTATTTTATTCAGAAAATTCAATTCCAACTGAATGCGTTAATAATTATCCGACTTCACCCGCTAAGTTTCGAGTATTTTCTGAGGAAAAATACTACATTCTTAGCTGTATATATATATATATATATATATATACAAAAATGTATGAAATAGTTACATCAAAAACTAGGAAACGTGGGGAAAATAGTCATTTCAATGACTGGTCTTTTTAATGATTGAGCCCTGAATTATCTGGACTTTACCTAACAAGATATAGTCACTCGCATAAAACTACACAGACATACTTCTTTGCCCTTTCCCTCCGCCCTCGGTGGCTTAGCAGTAAGTCTAAGTGCTTATAACGCTAATTTTCAGGGCTCGATCCCTGCACTGATACTCCATCTAGGAGCTGTAGTCTTGAAAACAGTAAATTGTTCAACGTACGGTTTATTAATGCAAAATATCCAAATACCCCTAATAGAAAACATGTATACCTAATTTAGACTTAGCAGTAAAGAATGGAAAAAAAATACATACCAAATACAAGGTCTAGGCGTTGCTTTTCGACTAACACATCAGTATTGGAATGTTTATCATGTATAAAACGACTTAGAATGATAACAATAATAACATAGATACGTATTTTGTTGCTTTCAAATAGCAATATTTTTTCCAGATAATCAACTAGCTAAAAATTAAAACATCGGCATTACACTTTAGCCATTATCCAGTCTTATACAATTCCTGAATTAAAAGTCGTTTTACTTGAGAGCTCCTAAGATGGCTTTTAGAAGATTCTGCCTTACTGACAAATATTTATTCACGGCTATCTGCGTTCGAAACTTCCGGAAAAGCGCTAAAAATATTGTCCATCAAAATAGTCTTTTTCTAACCTTTATCACGTTGAGCTTTGGCATTTTTCGGATTTCAGGCTTTTACTCTTGACATACAAAGATGCACAGTTTCAAGGGAATGAAGCGAATATTAACTCTGTACAGTTTCAAGGGAAGGAAGCGAATATTAACTCTGTATGAACATGTGAGAGACTCGATGTTTCTTCAAGAGAAACCTAGATCCCTTCCCAGTCACATGGTTGATCATGTTAAAGGCATCGACTTTTGACAATTAGAATTAAATATAATTACTTTTCTTGTTAAATAACGCTAGAAATTGTTTTTAAAGAATTCTTTCAAATTATAGTAATTACTGTTTGTTGTCAAATGGGTTGTCTGTGTTGTGGTCATAAGGGCGAATCTGTGTTGTGGCCATAAGGGTGAATCGATCTCCGGATTTTAGCGTATATATAAGTCCTTAAGCTTACCACTGAACCAGCGAGTACACATGAAATTGCAATGTGCTTTGCATATGATGAAAATTTTAGAATATTTTAAAGGTTTTTCTTTTTTTTAATACTCAACAAAGCTATAAAGGTCGCTACGCAAATATTTGACACTCTAAATGTTATGCGAGTGAACATACAATATATTATATACTCGAGTTGAGAAACGTGAGTGTACAGTGCCTATGTTTGGAAACAATATTTTCACATCTAGAACGAAAATCTAACATTGATCCCTGTGTTCCATAAAATGAAATATTTTACCAAAGTATGTTTCTTTTACAATAAATGAACACACACACACACACATATATATATATATGTATCAGAAGAAAAAAGTTACCGTTACATTGTTTTAATTGGATTTGTTATAACAAACAATCATTACTGGGTGAAAAAACAAAAAACAACGTAATTTGAGCAGAATTTTACCACTCCGTAAACTTCCAGTTACGTACATAATACATATTCTTTTCCACAGATACGGAAACACGAAATATATTATAATTACGGTTTTACAAAATTTTCAAATATTAAGGGGTTTCAGTGTCTATTTACTTTTCCCTTCGAAAGAGGAATTTGTTTGGCTAAACAGCGTAACATGGTATTTTGAGGAAGAAAATCAAAACACATTTTGAGATTGAAAACAAACAAAAAAAAAACGTATAAAGAAAGACAGATTTCTGAGGTACGGAAAGCAAATTTTCAACTGAAAACGATTATACAACGAGTAAAATATAACAGTCTCTACAGTTCTATTTCCTGTTGTACATTTAGGTATGCACACGCCATCTGCGTGAGATTACAATAAAGATGATGAAAACAGAGAAAATGCATAAATATTATTTAATGAAGATGACAAACAACTCCAGAAAAATGTTTAATTAATTGTACTCGACGTTTCGGTTTACACCTTTATCAAGGATCTATGAACGTCATAGGTTATCAAGCTGATTTTAAATGACAGCAACCGAAAACGAAATACAGCTACAACAATATAACGCAAAAGTGTGCGTGATGCGCTATAGGAGTACAGTCGAACATAAAAATAGAGAAAATGATAATAATAACATAAAAATAGATAAATGTAATCTTATGGAACAGTTTTCTTGTATTTCTATATGTAATCTTATGGAACAGTTTTCTTGTATTTCTATATGTAATCTTATGGAACAGTTTTCTTGTATTTCTATATGTAACCTTATTCCAGTATTTCATTAGAGTGATTAAAAACGTCAGTAATGTGTTCGTATTTCAAATATTTTTTTAGTCATTTTGGCGAAATTAAGTAAAAAAAAATATGTCATTGACTAGATATCTGTTTTTTTTTTTCAGTAAGACTATCTTTATACAAATTAAGCATTCGCTAAAAATACGTATAAGCAAAGTGGAAAAATCCTCAAAACCGATTTTCTGAAAGTTACGTCGAAAAATCGGTTGGAAGTTGCTTCAATCAATTTTATAAAATTTATTAAAATATTTATAATAATGATAAAACGGTGGTTTAATCATAATGTTTTATCACTCTTACTGCTTTAGTTTTGACGCAGACGATGGTAATTCTCAGAACAAGACCCTTTTGGATGCCACAAGTCCGTCTTCTGGACTGGTTCTTCAGACCATGCCACAACGCAGAGAATCTTTTCTGTATAGGTCCGACAGCGAGTTCGAAATGTCCCCTAAGTCAGTATCGCGTCATTCCTCAATCGGCAGTGAATCGTAAGACACGTTTTTCATTCTTAGTATACTAGTTTACAGAGTGATATTTCTAAAATTGTTTCTTGAGTTATGGAAAAACCTGTCAGAAGTTGGTGATATAAAACTCTATTAATTTTTGTTATCTACTTATTCATCATGTGCTACCAAATTTTGTTATCTACTTATTCATCATGTGCTACCAATTTTTGCTATATACTTATTCATCATGTGCTACCAAATTTTGTTATCTACTTATTCATCATGTGCTACCAATTTTTGTTATCTACTTATTCATCATGTGCTACCAATTTTTGTTATCTACTTATTCATCATGTGCTACCAATTTTTATAATGTAATCTTAATTTTCCTTTAATCATTAACCAAATGAAACCCAATATCAGATGGAAACAAATCCCGTGAAGTGTAAAGAATGTGAACACTTTTTTAGTTCAAATAAGTCTGTGTTTTTAATTTCTCGAGTGATTCCTTTTTGACGAAAGCTCTGCGCCTTAGCTCGGAGCGTTGATACTTCATCATCATTACTAAATTTAATCACTTTAGTTGTCCTTCACCATGCTAGTAATTAGTTTTTATATATATCATCTGGTCTAGGAGTTTAAGGAGTTAGATGATATTTAAGCTGATAATTTAATCAAATCTGTATTTAGTATTTTTAAAAATTTCATGAAACAAAACTCTTTTTTTCTGTAGGTGAAAAATGGACAATTTTGAAATGTCAATTTTCTTTTAGTAGATGAGCTTTGCTTGATAGTCTTTAGACTAGATTACAAAATCATTTAAATAAATTACATCATGTTAGACGTAAAGCCCAGTATAGACTTCGTTTATTTCAATCCACTTGTAGACAAATCGGTTGGAAAGTAAAAACTGGTTGAGTTGAGATTCAATGAAATAATTCCAACAATCCACCCAGACAACCATATAGGAGATGTATTTTTTTACTTCACATCTTTACAAATGTTTCTCATCATCAAACGGGATAAAATAACTGAATTATCGTTTTAATTGGAAATGTTTTGTGACGTAATGCAGCCATTCATCAACAGTGTGTCTGTTTACGTTTAAACGTGCATCACTCTGTTTAATGTTTATATGCGTGTAATTAACGAGTTGCTCATTCCTTTTTGAAAACGTCATACAGATCATTATGCTAAGCCTAGCTCAATATCTGCGCTCAGACGCAGGAAACTGGAACACCATGACCTAAACCCATCATAGCGTTGTACAAGATCAATACGGACAGAGAGTGTCAAACAGAACGTGAAATTGGCGATGCTCCGTGCGTGTCTAGTAGTGTGACGCAAGCACAGCTTGATTTTCAAATGACTTATTAACAGTTCATTACGTTGTCGATCATCAAACTACTGTAGTTCCAGCAAAACAATTTCGCTAGTCACAAGTGACTGACAGTTTGTAAGGCAACTAAATAATGTCTGTGTACGAATAGAAAAAATCTAGATTGTTCATTTAAAACATTGTTGATACATGTCATTTTAGATTGTTCATTTAAAACATTGTTGATACATGTCATTTTAGATTGTTCATTTAAAACATTGTTGATACATGTCATTTTAGATTGTTCATTTAAAATATTGTTGAAACATGCCATTTTAGATTGTTCATTTAAGACATTGTTGAAACAGGTCATTTTAGATTGTTCATTTAAGACATTGTTGAAACAGGTCATTTTAGATTGATCATTTAAAACATTGTCGAAACATGTCATTTGTCACATTTGTTTGTTTCTTTTTAGAACAAAGCCATATTAGGCTATCTATTCTGTCCACCGCGAGGAATTTAACCCCGAATTTTAGCGTTATAAGTCCGTTCCGTAGACTTATCGCTGTCCCTTCGGGGGACCATTTTTCATGTTGTATTATACAGATTATGGTTAATATGCCTAAAAGATGGCTTATATCACACCCCTTCCAATTTCACATCGTACTGAGTACGGTCTGAACGAACACTTCTCATGTTCATACTATTATCTGATGATGCCTACTCTCAGTCTAGCATCTTAGTTTTGTATTACTGCATATTACCATCTATGCTGGAAACTGGAACACCGTGATTGTGAGAAAACGTTATTATATACATTAGGCTCATGTGGAAATATTTAAGAAAAATATGGAAGCTGGCAGAGGTAACGACCAATGTGTGGCGTTTCTATATATTAACTAACGTAACTAACATTCTATTGTCGCTTATTTGACAGAGAGGTTTTGGTTGTGTATTATCCAACTATGTTTTTACATAAGAAAATGGTATAAAAATCAAGATTATATCGACTCTTTAAACGTATATTAAAATAAATTCATACCGTGGTCTCAAAATTCAGGAATATAAAACCTCAGAAATGCAGCATTTAACATCAGCTCTGGCCAGTACTAGAAAAAATACAAGAACTTTATCCAACACCTTCTTTAGGATTCGAGCAACAGATTTGGTGATCTAGTCTGTTTAATGCCACATTTAACATCAACTGTAAGCCAACACCACAAAAAATATATGGATTTTCTCAAACACCTTCTTTAAGATCCGAGTAGCAGATTTGGTGATTCAATCTGTTTAATGCCTCATTTAACATCAGCTGTAAGCCAACATCACAAAAATATAAGGACTTTCTCAAACACCTTCTTTAAGATCCGAGCAGCAGATTTGGTGATTCAATCTGTTTAATGCCTCATTTAACATCAGCTGTAAGCCAACATCACAAAAATATAAGGACTTTCTCAAACACCTTCTTTAAGATCCGAGCAGCAGATTTGGTGATCCAATTTGTTTCATACCGAACTCTAGAACCAGCCCCCCCCCCCCAATGGCACAGTGGTATATCTGCGGAGTTGCAACGCTAGAATCTTGGTTTCGATACCCGTGGTGGGCAGAGCACAGATAGCCCATTGTGTAGCTTTGTGCTTAATTACAAACAAACAAGGACTAGCCACCTGGTGCATGTAGCCTTTTCTCTTTCAATTTATTATAGGAAAGTAGATTTATACATCTTCAGGTATTTTGCCAGCCAAATTTTTGTGTAGATAAAGACATAAACTCTAACTTGGATAACGTAAAATAATCTCAAAGTGGTTCAAGCTTTGCAACCACATTTCTTAGTAGAATCCTAAGAGTACCGTGGAAGTAAAACTGTTGCACGAGTGTATCTCTATGTAGTATCAACCCTTGCATTTGTTAGAAATGACTTCTTTGTTCTCACACTAGAAAATATCTAAAATGTCATTGGGCCGAGCGTAACTCAGAGATTAGTGTGCAGCAATGTGCGTCCGAGTTTTCTTGGTTCGTGACTAATTACCGCCAGAAAAAAAAAAAATGACAGTCAAGTCCCACTTTTCAATTAGAGTAGTTCATGAGTTGACTGTAGATGGTGTTCACTGACTGCCTTCCCTTCACTTTGTCACTTAAAAAATAAGTACGCCTAGCACGGGAAGTCCTCGAGTAGCTTTGCGCGAAATTAGACAAACAAATAACAAAATAATGGAAGTACGTTGATTTTAGGTATGTTGGATTGTTTTTGTTTGTTAATGTCTCCAAACAGTGAATCCAACTAACCATGATTAGCTACCCGTTGCCGCAAAATCGCGCTTAGCACTTTGGATCGGTAACGGCCAAATTCCACTATTCAATCAGACAAGAGTAGCCCAAGTGTTGGCGGTGCATGTTGTTGACTAGCTGCCTTCCCTCTAAATTGAAAATTAAAAGACAATTATACGCAGGTAATTCTTATCAAGTTTTGCGCGGAATTCTCATATAATCAAACAAAAGCAAAAATGTGCATTACAAAATTCAAAGGATAGACATCAGAAGTTGATCTTTACTGATACTTAAGAAAATCCACTTCTGGTATGTTGCTCCAGTATAGTGATTACTTCAACCAAATCTTGGCTCAACCTACAATAAGAAACACCACGCAATTTGTAGTATAGTTTTTAGTTCTTGTGAGTGTGAAGCTATTTTTCTAACACTGGTTTATATTTAAAACCTTACTCATTCGAATAATGCTTGGAGACGGATTCAATGGGTAATGAAGAAAAAACTTTAATATGAGTTTAACATAACAGCAAATGTACAACGTTTCGACTAGGTTTTGTCATCATCAGGTACAAGTAGTTTACACTGACACAGTTATATACATACAGTATAGTACAAAGAGGTTACATGACCGGATACTGCTGCACGACTTAAAAAGAGATGTCATGGCACCCCAGGGTGTTGGTTTAGAGTAAGGTTGTTTTATTTAATTAAGATGGATTCCTTGATTTTTCGTTTGTTTATGTTTGGTTCTTTGCTTAAAATTACTGTGTTTTTAATAGATATACTGTAGTTCTTTGATTTGCAATGGTGGAAAACATGGGACGTTTTTTTATTGTGTTCTGTGAATCTGGTTTCCAATTTTCTTCCTGCTTCTCCGATGTAGAATTCTGAGCAGTTATTGCATGTTATTTTGTAAATGACGTTGGTATTGTGTGATTCTAAATTATTTTTGTTTAGTGACGATTTTAATTTAGGGCTGGGTGGTTGATAGAATTTGACGTTGACAGGATCTTTGTGTTTAATCGCGAGATTTCTCCAAGTGTGGATTTTTCTTGAGCTGGTTTCAGAGACAAAAGGTAAACTGCAGTGTAATGTACTGTTGTTGGGTTTGTTAGTATCAATTTTTTTTCGTGAATTGAGTTTTGTTGTGGTGAATGTTGAAGAGTTTTTCAATAATAGCTGGTGGGAATTTGTTGGTGTGAATAAAGGAATCCTTTATGTGGTTGATTTCTTCATCTACGCAGTCCGTTGAATAGAGTATTGTGGCTGTGTTTATGAGGTTTTCGAGTGTATTGATTTTTTGTGTGGTGTCATGAGCGGAATTCTAGGGGATGCAGAGGCCGGTATGTGTGTCCTTACGGTGAATTTTGGCTTTAAACTGTGTGTACGATCTAATATAACTGTTTATTGTTTTCGTGTTCTATGGTAAATTTGATGTTGGGATGAATGGAGT